TCTAACCAATTATGCTCTTTACTTTGAATCTTTGGGAGTTGGTTTATATGACAAAGCTGTAAGATACGATCTGGATACGGATGTGAAGCAGGTCATAAAACCTGACTTGACTGGGCCATTGGGTGCTCGTATCTTTGATAAAGCTGTTATGTACAAGTCAAAATCCATGTATGCCATCTACTAAACTATGTTATATAGAATTTGTATGCTCGTACAAGTTAATAAGCTGATTATAATGTCATTTTCCAATCTCCCATTAACAGATCAGAACCAGTGTATTTTGAGTTTCCTGAATTTAAAGGTAATTCTCGTCGGGACTATTGGCTGGATATATGTCTGGAGATCCTGCGTGCAAACAGGTTTATTAGAAAACATAATTTCAAAGAGATTCAGCAATCAGAAGTGCTTGGAAGAGCTGTTCTTGGCATTTTTCGATACCGTGCTGTCAGAGAAGCTTTCCATGTCTACTCCTCCCAGTACAAAACCTTGCTCATATTTAACCTGGCTGAAAGTCTTCCTGGGGGAGACACAATCTTAGGGACACTGTCTAGTCGCTTGGCATTTGTAGATACCAAAACTTTTCCAAGTGATGTGTTTGTGCCTCAATATATGAAATGGCCATTAACATTTTCCCCAGTTTCAGTCTTGACACTGAAACATTTTGGGCTAACTTTGTCAAGGAGATTAAACGTGGATGGAGAAGTGGCAATTGTTGGAGATTTTTGTGTTGGAGAAACAAATCCACTGGAGATAGCAGTGAAGCAATCAATATCTGACACAGGTAGGGCTGAAGCTGCACAGGCAACTGTGGACCAAGTGAAGGTAGAAGGAATTGATACAAATGTCGCAGTAATGAAGGTTGATTATGATAGTCTCTTATCAATCATTTCTTTTAAATGCCTTATAACTTCTTGGACAACTGGCTAAAATACATGTAGTAAGTCAACAATTGTCATCTTGAACTTTGGTTTCTTTTGCTTATACGAGTTGCTTTGCTTATTCTCTCTGAAACAAACGGTAAATTTCTCACTGTGATTAGTAAGCTGAATCAGAAATATTAACCTGAATGAATTAAGTAGGGTGCCAGGTTTTTCATTTTTGTCTTATTTCAAAACATGTTTGATCTAGTCATGGGCATGCATGTGGCCACCCTATAGGTAGCTTGTAATTCTGATTACTTCTTTATAGCATTTGTTCCTACAGACATCCAGCATAAGTTGGTTATTAGTTTTCTTCTTGTAGAGTTTACATGTTAAAATTAGATTTCTGTAGTTGAAGAGTGAATGATCCTTTCCCCATTATTACTTGTAGGAATTGTTGTTTCCTGTTATTGAATTAGCTAGTCGGCTTCAACATTTGGCTTCTTGGGAAGATCCTTTCAAATCAACAGTGTTCTTGTTGTTGACCTGCTATGCCATTGTAAGGTAACATGCTCTTATCTGGTATTTGCAGACTTAGATCCAAGGTTCTTTGACATTTACTGCCTGTTTGTCAATAAATAAAAACTCACATCATCAACCAAAAAAAAAAGTCTATTTATCAGCTTTTATGGAAAAACAAAAGCAGCTTATCTTAGGATCCACCCTAAGAATGTATGCATCAGAAACTTGTATAAATAAATAGTTGCGAAACCAGCATGTGCCTTACAGAAACACAGGTGCAAGCATAATTTCCCCATGATTTTTACATGGATTCATCATTTGTTTGGTTGTCTAATACTTTTTCCTTTGAAACTCTGTTCCCCTTTAAATGAACATCATCAATCTTTTTTTAAATCTTATTCGATAGAATATCAAATAAGTCTACTGATTTTCCCCTTTCGAGCATTCGTAACAACAAGAGTTCCAGGGAGATCTATAGGTACTATATTATTAAAAGATCCGAGTCTTACGATAGATTAGTTATTCAGTTTCTATTTAAAACTGAATACCATGTGATTCATTTGAAATCATACACAAAATTGCCTCTTGTTGGATGGAACAGAAGGCTTTCAACAATAAACACATACATACGTGTTGAAGTTGAATGTCAAAAACATCCACATGTCAAATACCTAATGCACACAGGAAGATGTTAAGTCCTTCTGTCAAGACCTAGATTTGAGGGAAAGATAATGGAAACTTATGTTTGATTTCTTTTTAAAATTCTGTCAATTTTTATTTTCTTGTTTTCCTAACGGCATTCGGATGGCATAATAATACTAGGTGTGTATATGGGACCGCTGGACTGTACCAGGCTCTCACTTTTTTTGGCTGCTTATATCTGATTACGAGTATATATGCATGTTGTACTAAGGATAGCAGATATGAAAAAAGACTTATTATTATTAGCTATTCTCTCTCTTCTCTCATTCTCCTTGGCCTGGTTCTCCTTCTTCCTCTCCTCTTTCTCTCTTCCCTCTCAAGATACAGCCTAGTTCTGATTTCTTCCTCACGGCATGGCTTCCCTAGCACTAATGAATCATTATCTTGACAAAATGGTACCAGAGCCAATTGAAATCACTGAGACCGCTTCCTCTACTATCAAGATGGCCAACAAAGGGAAGTCTATCATCACCGATGCCCAAAGAGTGACTCAGGTGGAGGACTCCCTTCGTGGCATGAAATAGAGGCTCCACAACTCAGGAAGGACAATTGAACGTGTTAAGGCACGGAACACGTTATGCTTCCTCAATATACCTGAGACACCACACACTACCCTTGCAACTAGCATCCTTGATAAGATATAACTCTACTACAGAGGTTAAGCTATCCCTCATTCTCCAACCTAAATATTATGTTTCTCTCTTTATTTTCTTATTCTAATAAAGGAAACGTACACTGTGATGTAGGTGAATTGGAAAAACATAAACGTGTTGATTTTTATTCCAGTAATAAAGAAAATCAATTTTCCTTTAAATTTAGTTCATAGTGATATTCGGGGACCCTCAAATATCCCTAATATTTATAGAAATTGATGATTTTATTTCTTTATCGATGGTTGCACCAAAGTAATGTGATTTTTCTTGTTAAAATCAAAATCTCATATTAATCACATTATTCTCCAATTTCACAACACAATCAAAAACCATGGAGTGAAAATCAAATATTCTTAAATTGATAATGCTCATAACTACTTTGATTAAATAGTAGCCTCCTTTTCTCAAAGTGAGGGAATCACTCATGAATCTTCTTATGTTTATACTTCATAGCAAAATGGAGTGGCAGAACGGGTAAGCAATTACCTACTTACCACTATTTGTGTTTTCTTGTTTCAAAACCACGTCCTTAGACGTTAATGGGGGAAAGTTGCTTTGATTGCAACCTATCTCATCAACAAATTACTATCTCGGGTACTAGACTTTCGCAATCTTATGATAGTTCCTATTACCTTTTTGCTTGAACAGTGAGTAAACAATAATCTTATTCCTCGAGTCTTTGATTGTGTTGTCTATGTTTACATACACCAATCTCAAGAAAGGAAACTTGACCATATGGTCATTAAATGTATATTATAGGGTATTAACCTACATAGAAAACTCCCATTCAAAAGTTTTAGGTACCTATTGATGTTACATTACAAAAACCAAGTCCTTCTTTCAACCTGATATCTAGGAGAGAGTATATTGGAAGATAAGGAGAACTTATTTCTGTTTGATATTTTTGTACCCTTAAGTACTTCGTCCTCTCATCACTACCAGAAAACCAAAAATCACCATAAGATACACCCGAAACATACCATCAAAAAACCAAGACTAAGAAAATAAACCAGAATCCTCAACCATACAGGATCCACGGTACTCAAAGAAATCTTTTCCCCATCTAAAACTTTGCATCATTTAAAAAATATTCTATGCCCCATAAAATCTTTATAATGAGTTTAAATAGAATATCAATTCCTATGGGATGCAAGTGAATGTTTACAATAAAGTACAAAACTAATAGAACGATTCAGAGGTATATCCAAATTTAGGAATGGATTATTAAGAGACATTTGCACCAATTGCTCAGATGAATATAGTGTATGTCTTATTATCTCTAGCTACTCATTTTGATTAGTAATGGTATCATTTCAATGTAAATAATGTTTTCTTACATGAAGATCTGTTAGAAAAAATTTGTATGAAAATATAACCAAGATTTGCTAAAATAACAAGATCAAATAAAGTGTATAAACCAAAGAATGCATTATAGGGATTCAAGCAATTATCCTGAGTATGGTTTAATAGATTCATAAGGATAATGATAGACTTGTGATATAAGCAGATTCGGAGAGACCACACCCTATTTATCAAGCACTCAAAGTCAAGAAGAGTCCCATTGTAACAGGGAACAAATGAAAAAGAAAAACTAATGTTCAAATTATGCCTAACAAAAAAATTCGAGAAATGAGTTAAGAAAGTTAAAATACTTCATTAGACTTAAAATTGCACACTCAAATTCAGGGATCTTCATCTCGCAGCAGAAACACATTTATTATATCTATTAAGGGATACTAGTAAACTAACATGTAAATCAAGAAGTACTCCTATTGATCTTGATCATAAATTGGGAACAACAAAAGAGGATATGTCAGTAGATAATGAGATATATAAGGGATTTGCTAAAAGATTAATATACCTGTGATAAATCAATTCATGAAAAACTCTAAGGAGGTGCAATTACAGGCAACTTACAATGTGTTACATCAGTTAAAAGGGATATTCGAGAAGAGTATCAAGTACAGAAATAATGAAATAATGCTTTTAGAAGTCTATACTAATGCAAACTATGCAAAGTCAATAGTAAATAAAAGATCTACCACAAGTTACTGTACATTTCTTATAGATAACTTGGTTACTTAAAGAAATAAGAAATATAATGTAGTTGCAATATCTAGTGCAAAGTCAATATTCCGAACAATGACTCAAAAAGTATATGATTTATTATGGCTGGAAGGAATTCTAGGAGATCTGAAAATTAAGTGAGATGATCTCATGCACTTATATTGTGACAACAAATCCGGTATAAGTATAACCATTACCGGTACAACACAATAGGACCAAACATGTTGAAATTGACAGACACTTAGTTAAAAAGAAACTAGATAATGGTCTAATATGTACTCCTACTAGCTCCAAGTTTGTAGATGTATTGATCAAGGCTTGAGTAATCCAGTATTCCAAGCTAACATAATTGGTAAGTTGGTGATGGAGAATATCTATTCCCTAACTTGAAAGAGAGTGTTGAAGAGCATTTTATATGCAATTAATCTAAGAGAATTAAACTAAAGGACATTGTTGTAAAATATGCATTATGCAATTAATTTTTGGTTTCCTTTCTTACACTAGAAAACTTGTATATATAGGGTCTTGTTATTCAATACAATACAAGCTCATTTCTACTCAACAAACACCAGGTTAGAGGCGAAGCTAGATGGAGCTAGATGTCAAGCTAGCAGAAAATCATGCCTAGCTCCCACTCATCATTGCAAATATTCTATGTTCCATGAAGCAGCCTACACTCCACCTATCACAACTGTAACGGCCCCGAAATTTTAAAATGAAATGTGTATTAAAAAGGTCAAATGCGGAAGCGTAATAAAAATTTTGATTGACATCCCTTACACTAAAACCAAAAACGTGCTCAAAGTATAAAAGAACAAACTAACTAAAAGAGAAACTCGAAAATAAAAGCTATAAATATAATTACGGAGTCTTCAGGCGTCCCCTTCGCCGTCTTCCTGCGGAATGGGCTCGGGAACCACGTCTTCCTGATCTGAAATGGTTAAGTAAGGAGTGAGTTACACTAGCCCAGTAAAGACGTCACTCTACCTCACTGCCACAGGAGTAAGGGTGGGTAGAAAACAAAAACGACCAATGGAGCATAATTTGTAATAAACCCATTTGTTCATAAAAACGTTTACTTTCCATTTATCTGGTGAGATCCATAAAACAATACACAAGCAACACATTATCATCATCACGTTATCACATAGACTTTATA